TACTGTAAGCTAGATCTTCTGCTAGGTCTTAAATTAAAAAATTGATAAGATATTGTCTCTACTCACAAGACATTACAGTCTAGTGGGAAAGACAAACATCATGTTTGTGTGTGTTTATTCATATGTCAAGTAGCACCCCAAAAAGTACAAAATGAACCTAGAAATAAGGAGACATTTTTATAGCAAAAGATGATTATACAAAGATTTACAGAGAATGTGATAATTTTTTTCTATTTCTTAGAAAAGCTGGAATGCAATGAAATCAAGAGATTAAATAGAAGTATGAGCTTTATTATTAATTTAAAATGTTTAAGGATAATAAGAACACATTCTCAAAATTATTTATAATTTAAATTTTTTCTCTGACTACGATTTCTGAATGCATAGCCATTTGCAATATGAATTATGTACTCAATTATATGTCCTGATGACCTATTGATGTTAACACATTTACATCATACTATTCCATAGCATAGATTTATCACAATTTCTGTAGCCAGTCTCTGAGAAACAGTTTGAGTTTTTATTTTCACTACTACAAAAAAAAATCCGCAGTAAATATTTTATGCATGTTTCTTTGCAGAGGCCAGAATGAAAAATAAGCCATATGGTTACCTGGAGTACTAGTACTCAAGAAAGAGAAATGAGCAGCTGCAAAGACTTTGACACAGGAAAGAAATTGGTGTGTTAGAGCAACAATAAGTGCAGTAAGTCTGGAGAGAGTGAACAAACTGAAAGACAGTAGCTTATGTCACATGCCAAAGGTGTGGCAGGGAACTATATGGACTTGTATACTATAGAAAAGGATATTTGCTTTTCATTTGAATAAGATGGTAAGATATTAGACAGTTATGAGCACAGAAATGAAAGTATCTGAATTATGTTTTTAAAACATTACCTTGTCTGCTATATGGAGACCAGACTGAGGAGGGGCAAAGATCAAAGAAAGAAGATCATTTGGGTTTATTTCAGTCAGCCAGGCAAGAGATGACTGTGGCTTAGATCAGGCTGCTAGCAGTGAAAGTCATGAGAACTGGTTGATTTAGGGCATATCTTAAACAAATGGCTGACAGGATTTCCTAATGGATCAAATAGGGAAGTGAGAAAAGTCAGAAGACAAGGTTGATTTCAAAGTTTCTAGCCAAGGGGATTAGAAGGATTGATACATGGAGTTGCCATTTACTTGAATGAGGAAGAGTTCACAAGAAGCAGGTATGACATAAGGGAGTCTAGGTGGGTGGAGAAGCCAAACTCAGCAGATCATTTTCAGATATATTAGGTATTTTCATATGTTTGTTAAGATATAAAATCATATGGTCAGTGAAAAGTGATAGTTGACCTGCTCTTTCCAAATTTGTATACGCCTTATTTCTTTCTTTCTCTTGCCTGATTTCTTTGGCTAGGACTTCCAGCACTATGTTGAGTAGAAGTGGTGACAGTGGGTACCCTTGTCTTGTTCCAGTTCTTAGGGGAAATGCTTTCAATTTTTCCCCACTCAGTGCAATATTGGCTGTGGGTTCATTATACATGGCTTTTATAATTTTGAGATATGCTCACTCTAACATCTAGAAAACCCCAGAGACTCCACCAAGAGACTCCTGGGATTGACAGACCAATTTGGCAAAGTCTCAGGTTACAAAATCAATGTAACACAAATCAGTAGCATTTCTGTATACCAATAACAATCAAACTGAGAGTCAAATGAAAGACTCAAAACCATCCACAATAGCTACAAAGAAAATAAAATACCTAAGAATATACTTAACCAAGGTGAAAGATCTCTGCAAGGAGAACTATGAAACACTGGGGAAAGAAATCACAGATGATACAAACAAATGGAAAAACATATCATGCTCATGGATCAGTAGAATCAACATTGCTAAAATGTCTGTACTGCCCAAAGTCATTTACAAATACAATGCAATTCCCATCAAAATATCAATTTCATATTACACATGCATAGAGAAAATAATCCTAAGTTTCATTTGTAAAGAGAAAAGAACCTGAAGAGCCAAAGGAATCTTAAGCAAAAAGAACAAATCTGGAGTCATCACATTATCTGACTTCAAGCTATACTACCAGGCTCTAGGAACCAAAACAGCATGGTATTGGTACAAAAACAGAAACATAAACCAATGGAACGGAATAGAGAACCCAGATATAAAACCGCCTACCTACAGCCAACTGATCTTTGACAAAGAAAATAACAACCTACACTGGGGAAAAGAATCTCTATGCAATAAATGGTGCTGGGAAAATTGGATAGCTACATGCAGAAGAATGAAACAGAACCCCAATCTCTGACCATATATAAAAATTAATTCAAGATGGATAAAAGACATAAATGTAAGATATGAAACCATAAGAATTCTAGAAGAAAATGTAAAAAAAACAAAACAAAAAAAACAAAAAAAAAAACTTGTAGATATCTATCTAGGCAAAGGATTTATGAACAAGACCTCAATGGCAACTACAGCAATAACAACAATAGCAACAAAAATGAATGGGACTTGACTAAAACAAAAAGCTTCTGCACAGCTAACCCATTCATAAGCAACAGAGCAAATAGCCTACATAACGGGAGAAAATATTCACAAACTACATACCCAATAAAGGCCTAATATTCAGCATCTACAAAGAACTCAAACAAATCAGCAAAAAACAAATGAACAATTCCATTAAAAAGTAGGCAAAAGACATGAACAGAAGTTTTTCAAAAGAAGATAAATAGCCAACAAACATGAAAAAATACTCAACATCACTAATCATCAGGGAAATGCAAATTAAAACCACAATGAGATATCGACTTACTCCTATTAGGATGGCTTTTATTAAAAAGTCCAAAAACAATAGATGCTGGCATGGATGCAGAGAGAAAGGAATGCTTATACACTGTTGGTGGGACTGCAAATTAGTACAACCCCTATGGAAGACAGTGTGGGGATTTCTCAAAGAACTAAATGTAGACCTACCATTCAATGCAGCAATCCCATGATTGCCTATCTACCCAAAGGAAAAGAAGTCATTTTATCAAAAAGACACCCACACTCGAATGTTTATTGCAGCATAAGCATAATTTACAATTTCAAAGATCTGGAATCAACCCAAGTGCTCATCAATTCATGAGTGGATGAACAAAATATGGTATATGTATAACATGGAGTACTACTCAGCCATAAAAAAGATAAATTAATGACTTTTGCAGCAATTTGGAAGGAAATGAAGACTATTATCCTAAGCAAAGTATCTCAAGAAAGGAAAAACAAACACTACATGTACTCTCTAATAAATTGGAACTAACCAATGGGCACACAAGTGTACAAATGGAAGAATGTGATAGGAAAGCAAGAAGCCAGGTCTAAATATCTTTGAACACAGATTCTCTACCTACTATTTGTTCAATACATAGGAATATTTTTGAAAACTGTTTTTTTTTATTTTTTATAAACACATTTTTTCCTATTTTTACATCTCTTTTTTTTTTTGATACAGAGTTTCACTTTGTTGCCTAGGCTAGAGTGAGTGCCATGGTGTCAGCCTCGCTCACAGCAACCTCAAACTCCTGGCTCAAGCAATCCTTCTGCCTCAGCCTCCCAAGTAGCTGGGACTACAGGCATACGCCACTATGCCCAGCTAATTTTTTCTATATATATCAGTTGGCCAATTAATTTCTTTCTATTTATAGTAGAGACGGGGTCTTGCTCTTGCTCAGGCTGGTTTCGAACTCCTGACCTCGAGCAATCCGCCCGCCTCGGCCTCCCAGAGAGCTAGGATTACAGGCGTGAGCCACTGAGCCCTGCCTGAAAACTGTTTTTAAGTGCATGTCTTAATAGCTCCAGAGATATGTTAATAATAAGGCAAGAATCCCACCTCATCTCTTTTTAAAAGAGTAGATTTAAGTAACTGTAAACATTATTAAGTGAGATGATTCGCTTCATAATTTTTGCTGCCATAAATTATGAAATGTTGAAATAAGAAAGACTTAACTTATGCATGTGTAAATTATTATTGTATTTTGAGAGTGTTTTCTTTTATCCTAACAAGTAAATCAAACCACAAATAAAAATTCAGAGTCATAATCATATATATATGAACTGTTTTAATATGTTGTTTTTGATACAATTATTTCAGAGTAAATAAAAATGTACCCTGCTCTTGGATATCCCCATTAGAATTAATGTATTTTCTGGTATTGTGAACTTTGATAAGATGGTCCTATTTTCCTATGAACTTTATTAGTATGCTTTTTGAAAGACTAGACATTTTTAAGTGTGTAATTTTATACTATAACATGAATTTGTGTGACTTCTTAAAATGAAATGCTTAAGAGTTTTTTAGTAGTTAAATTTACTGTATTTGATATCTTTTCGTTAGTTAAATTTTATGCCTCAAATTTTTAATTTTTAAGAAAATTTTATTCACTCAAAGAACTGTTTCAAAAATGATTACAACTAAATGGCTTTTAGACTTCCAATGTTCCACTAAAAATTATGCTCAATTCGTTTATTGGTTTTACATAATGCTCACTAGTTAAAAATCTCAATATTATCATGACATACTTTAAAATATGTCAGTACCACACAGTGGGATATTATGTATGTGCTAGAATTTAAGCTGAAAATCTAGGTCGAGGATCTGTAGTGCACTGATTGAGAATCTATGCTGCACAGCTTGTCAGCTGACATAGTAACCAAATGCATCAGATATTCATCTATTGATCAACACCTGAAGCAATGCTAATTGTCATAATGAGCACTGGAAAAAATTATTTTAAATGTTGTTGCTTCTTTTTACTTCAGAGCTCTCACACTTTATGATGTACTTTCTTCAGAGTGTAGAGGTGGGACTCAGAGCTGGGACTGGGAAGGTCTCTCCTGAAGAAATTCATCAGAAGACCTCCATGTGGGGCTAAGTGTATCTGAATGGGGCATGGCATTGACATTGAAATGAATAGGTGACAAGCACTTCCCAGGGCTCAGCCTACCCTGCCCTATTTGCCTTCACAGGAGGCACAGGAAAAAGAGATCTTGAAAACTCCCCAGGTTAAGTTCTTGAGTCACAGGAAGTCCCAGTGTCTCGGCAGGTTTGTGTTCAGCTCCCCCTGCAGCCCCAGGCACTGTGTCACTCACAGCACAGAAGTACTGGGCAGAGTCGCTCAAATGGGCTGAGGCTTTCTTCAGGTGAAAGGAGGTTTCACCCTTGTTAAACTCAGCCTTAAAACTTTTGATGCCTGTGACGAGGCTGTTTCCAGACGTGTACTTCAGGAGAAGCTCGAGTCCTTGGTTGGGGTATTGCACATACCAGAAGAGATACGGTGAAACAGAAGAGGAATAGTTGCACCGCAGCTCCAGAGGGTCTCCTTCAGAGACAGTGATGTGGCCATCGGGCTGGGTCACTCTCTGGGCCCAGGTTCCTCCTGCAATGGCAATGCTGTGTAAGTAAAAGCAGCACAGACTTCGCTATGAAGAAAACACGTCTCTATTCAGATGCAATTAGAACTCAGTCGCTTTCATGAAAGGAGAGAAGCAAATGGAACGTTACTCACCAAGGGCAAAAATCACCTCAAGCACCAGGAGGAGCAGCAGGAGCATGGCTGAGCAGTGGAAATGCTGCAGGACCTGGGCAGGTGGGGCGGTGGCCAAGGTCTCTGAGCCTCTGGAGCCAGGAGGAATGGGGAAGCTGGGCTGGACAAGTCTCTTGCTTTGTCAAGTTTCAAAAATGGATAAAAAGAGGCTTTCCCTTAAGGAGTCTGCATGCTTTCTGGCTTCTTCTTCCCGTCACACGTCCCTGCCTACACAGACATCAGGGAGATACACCAGCCAGCTGCAGGGAGGAGGGGCTCAGGGGGATGATGATGATCATCATCATCTGTAATAAAAACAGGTGCCACCTTTGTGAAACATCGCCCTCTAGAGGCCAGAGGCGGGACCAAGGATCCAAGAAAGCGAACTGCTTCTTCCTCATTGCGGAGATGTGATAATCAAAACATTCCTCAGAAATCAAGCAGGTGGGAAGGGGAGGAGGGGGTGGGTAAACTCACACCTAACGGGTACAATGCACACTATCTGGGGAATGGGCACAATCTGACTCAAACTGTACAGAAGCAATTTATGTAACCAAACGTTTGCACCCCATAATACTCTGAAAAGGAAAGAAAGAAAAAAAACTCCAACAGAGCTTGTTTCAACCTCCACGAATCTGTGATGCTGTCACCTTCTGTAGTACATGCTATCAATCCTGAAATACATGGAAAATGGGAGTTATGTGCAAACAGAAGATTAATTTACTTCGCTGAGAAATTGGTAACAAAAGACAATATTCTGAACTTGGGAATACCATTGAAACACTCTATTTTTTTTTTGTCAAAGCCATTCATCAGAGAAAATGGAGAATATTGATTGCCTAAGGCTGAGCTGAGATTCACACAGCCCTGTGCTGCTAGATGTGAGCATCAAACTGGGTAAAAGAGATTATCCCTTTATTTGATGCTAAAGGAAAAAAAATAAATTAGACAAGAGATTTATACTTAAAATCAGCCTGCATTGCATGACAATAATTAATTAGTCAATGCAAACTAACAAAGTCAATAATTTTCTTTGTCAAGCAGAAAGTGTGAGAAAGACTCCTTGGTTTCCGGTCAACAAGTGTGATATTTGTAAGGCTATGTTGAAAAAGAGAAAATGAGAGTCCTGTTCCAATTATCAATGCTCAGAATGCACTGATATCTTATGCCAAATTATGGGAATCTGGCACTAAAAAACATTCACAAAGGCCCATCTATGGAAAAACTTGAGCAGACTGGTACAGATAAGAAACTATAACATAAAAATAAGTGATTCTCGAAACACTTAAAAAAAAAAAAAGAAAAAGAAAAGAAAACGTATATGAACTCAAAAAAGCTGGAAGGAGTGCAAGTAGGAGACCAGAAATGAGAGGAACTTGTGGGAGGTATAGAGAATATAGGAGAGATTGATGGTGACACTTGACACAGCTAAGCAAGCAGCAGTCCTGTGTGCATGGGAGACAAGGTGTATCCAACAAGGGCAGTTGCCTCCGTGGCCCAATAATAAGATGAAACTCTTGAATGAGAAGCTTTCCCCAGAACATTTATTTTACCATGGGTGTTATTGCATCCTAGAAATGAGATAACCAAACAGGAAAGAAATCTCGGGAAAATGAGAATCTAGCCAACAGGTATTCTTTTCTCAAGATCAAAACAAATTCACTCCTTTCTATGTACACTGTTGACTTGTACCAGCCTTAAATCTGTTCTGCCTTGGGCTTCTAATCTGTTTCTTGATTGTGCCCATGGATTCGCATGTATGACCAAGTAATATAATCAGTTTGAATTTTTAAATATTACTAGAGCATGCTTTTGATTCAAAATTTCTAACTAAGCATATGTACTTTCCTTCTACCTCTCTAAAATTCCCTCTGAAATAAAATTCAGAAATGTAAACCAAGTGTAAACCTAAATCCATAACCATAAAAGTAATAAAAAAGATAGCAACAATTTTCATAATATGGAAAGTAGGTATAAGCACACTGATGGATGAAACAAAGAGGAAAAACTATGGCCTCAAAGGAACTATGAGAAGATTTCAGTGGAAATGAGGGTGAGGAAAATCTACTCCATGAGACCCTGGAAAAGTTCTGGACTGAAAAAGAGTAGGTACGATGGAGGGTGGGAGGAACAGAATACAAGGGGAACATAATGAAGGTACATATGGGGAAAGCTGCAGTAGCCTCCCTCGGTACTACTCTCCTGTTGCTGTACTTGTATGTGAGAAGCATAATACGAAACATTTAACCCTGGGCATTTAATCTTCACAAGAGTTGAAATGACGTTTTTAATGTAATTAACAAAGTTAGCCATTTTCAAACTGATATCAGGTGCAGGGAAAGAAAAGTAGCAACTTAGTTACCAGTTTCCCACCAATGCATCCCAGTAAGAAACCTACCAATTCACATGATATGCCCACGTGCCAATCATAACAGCCAACACCCTATTCAGGAAGAAACCTTGTGAGGAACATGGGCTCAACGATGTGAGGAGTCCAGCCTGCTACTCCGTCTTCATTCCTAAATATAAATCAAGAACAGAGTAACATTAATGATAGACAAGCATAAATGGTATCTCTTTCTTGTGGTCTCTGTACACATGGAAGCCCAGAGTCACCAACTGTGAATCATCATTTCCACCTGGACACAAGGTGATGGACAGAATGTCATGCAACCCTTCCCACAGAGTTAAGATAATATACCTGTTCCACAGTTACTATTCTTGAAAATTCCTGAGTCTTACCTTAGAATAATATTTTCTTACATTTATACCTTATACTTATTTAAATGTTTTCTGTTAACAAGTATGTTAACCTACATATTTCAACACTTTTAAAGATTGATAAGGCCATCTATATAAACTCTATTAAGTAAAGAAAAATGAAAATGTAGAATACAATTATAAAGTCTATCATTTCATTAATATTGCCCACATGCCTGGAGAGTTCCATGTTAATAGTGAACACTGTTGGTGCCCAGCCTAGATCCCTTTTCTCAGGCCACTGTAGACAATCCCCCAGCTACTGTGAGTGATGGCTACCCTTGGCTCACAGTTGCTCCTTTCCCTGGAAATTGGCCCAGGCCAACAAGAGTCACCATTGTCCAGTAGAGTATACCTCTACCCCAATTAAAACCACAGCAATGACTACTTTATTCTTACAAATAATAGGTCAGCAGTCTGGTCCCCTTCCCTCAAGGCAAGAGGAATCAACTCTATGATGTAAGTCATGCTCCAGAGCTGCCCGTGAGTTCAGGCTGAATCAAGACTTCCACTGAGCCTCATCCATAGTTAGCATTTCCGCCTGTTTCAACCTACTTTCCTCAATAAAATATGGGCAAAAAATTCCTAATTCAGGCTCTGCTTTTTAAAAACTCATATGAAGATATTTTATTTAACCCTGAAACCAATCCTGAATTATATATAATAATATCGCAAAGATCAAATGTCCCATTAGTAACATAATAAATATTTAGACCAGAACCACGACCCAGGTTCTTTTCAGAGTGCCATGATGCAAAAAGGTATACAGTAAAAGTGAAACTACAATTTAAGTATCTTGATTCCAGCACAACTTTCTGCTCTTCCTCACTGCCTTTCAAATCTTTCTTCTGTGACTTGGAAATATTTGTCTAGAGTCTTCCATTCTGCTGATTAAAATTTGAAGCAAATTCTGATTGGGTTGCATACTTTTTGTCAGTGACTATGTGAATAAACTGAACAGAGACCTTAATTATCCATTTCTAAGTTTTCCTAGCTCCTGGACTACATAAACAATGTCAGGACTAACAGACGACAGATTCAGTTTTACAATATATGTGACTTTGAAATTTTTGTTCATATAATTCAAATAAACAGCTACTAAAAAGCTTTATTTTCACCAGGCCACAGACATTTTTCCTGGACTTTGCATAAGTTACAGGGCAAATCTATAGTGCCATGTGGTCATGAGAGGGGAACATTCATATCATCTTCAGCGTTTCCAACTCTCCTGAACAACATTTGCCAAAACATTCTAAATACAATATTGTCCTTGGTAATTGATCCATACAGGTGTTTATTCACCATAACAAAGCCCCTGGTGTCTAGAACCCTTTTAGATACTTACTCCAAGATCCTTCTCAAGAATCTGAAGTCATTCTGTGCTCCCACACCCCGCTGGGTGTATGGGACCCTCTATGGCTATGGCTAGTGCTCCCTGTGATCTCTGTGCCACACTCAAGGACATAGGGATCAATAAACTCTCCACAACGGTTAAGCCAGGAATTCTGAGTTTGATTCATATTTTACCACCAAATGGCAACATAGGCCCTCTTTAATCTTTGCAACCATATAGATTTTTTTTTTGTTTTAACCATTCTCACCCACTGACTCCAGTCCTTCCATCTCTCCATCAAATATATCCTTATATAATTCAGTAGAGGGGTTGCAGTTGAGAGAGGAGATGCGGTAGGTGTTCTATAACTAAAATAATTGTGACTTACAAAATTTCAAAATGTATAAAGTAAGTATATGCACATTTTTGAATGCCAATCATACCTCAATAAAAAATATTTTTACAACTAGAGTGAAAAAATAAAAAGACTGGAAAACATTTCATCTAGAGCAATATTATGTCTTTCATTTTTTTCAGGGTCACCAATATTTTCATAATTGTGAAAATACTTTCCTAATCAATTAAACACTCCAGATTATTACTCTTAATTTCCATTTGCCTCAAGAGAGCAAAGAGAACTTCTCTGCCCTGCAGTATAAGTTCTGTATCAGGCATTGCTGGGGCCCCAGCAGGTTTGGGTGCAGGCTGCAGGTGCCTGGGGAGCACTGTGTACTAACTGCACAGAGGTAGGTGGCTGAGTCACTGGGCTGAGAGTCTCTGATGAGCAGGGACACATATCGGCTGGCCGTATTGAGCTGTGCTATAAATCTTCCTTCTTCTTTGTCACCAGTGGAGAATATGGACATGAGAACCTCAGGGCCTTTCCCAGAATACTGTCTGTACCAAAAGAAGTACTGAGAAGCAATGTTGCTATAAGTGCAGTTCAGAGAAGCCGTGGATCCCTCAGAAACACTGAGGGATTTGGGAGTCTGCTCCACCTCCTTCTGTTGGCTCCTCACCCCTGTGCAAAAGACAATATTCAGACAAAGAAGGTTGGTTGGGTAGTGGATTTAAAGAGAATTTAAATCATCTTTTTATAGGCCTCCCACTCTCCCTTAGTTAGCAAAAAAAAAAAAATCATGTTTTTACCCACGGGCCTAGAATAGACAATTACTCCAAATTGTGTACTCTGGTGATGCCCAAAACTCACAGCTTAGCTGAAGCCACAGGATTGCTAGCAAAACTCTGAAGGATTTCATCATTTTCTCCACTGGTTCAATGAAGATCCAAATTTTAATCTCTTGAAAAACTGAGCATAGCTCAGATGTTTCTAATTCTTCTTAAGAAGCATAAAAAGAATGTGTTGTACTCATTGGAAGAAATATGCTCTTTTTATCACCTCGGCTATACCACACTAAACCACTCCCCTCATCTCTCTTTGTCTCTGTTTCTCTGTATCTCTCTCTCTCTCTCTCTCTCTCTCTCACACACACACACACACACACACACACACACACACACACACACTCACATACACACAGGAACACATGACAGCTTTCGAAAGAGTCCCTGAGAAGACACTGCCATCTTGTGGACTCATGATAATGATCAAAGAAATATTCAAACGCAGACTCTAGTTATATGAACTGTTACAAGTAAAAATCTTACACTTTAGTTAAATTCAGACTATATAAGAAAATCAAATAACTCAATAGCAAAAAAAAAAATCCATTTAAAAGTGACCAAAGATCTTGCCCACTGTTAGCACTTCTATTCAACATAGTCCTGAAAGTCCTAGCCAGAGCAATAAGGCAAGAGAAAGAAATAAATGGAATTCAAATCAGGTTAAAGGAGGTCATGCTACCCCTGTTTGCTAACAATATAATCTTGTATCTAGAAAACTGTAAGGACTCCACCAAAAGACTCCGAAAATTGATAAATAAATGCAGCAAAGTATCAGGTTATAAAATCAATGTACACAAATCAGTAGCATTTCTATATACTAATAATAGTCAAGATAAGAGTCAAATCAAGGACTCAATATCATTTACAATGGCTACAAAGAAAATAAAATACCTAGGAATATGCTTAATCAAGGAGATAAAACATCTCTACAAGGAAAACTACAAAACACTTATGAAAGAAATCATAGATGAAATAAAAAAAATGGAAAAACATCTCACACTCCTGGATTGGCAGAATCAACATTGCTAAAATGTCTGTACTGCCCAAAGTCATTTACAGATACAATGCAATTCCCATCAAAATATCAATTTCATATTTCACATGCCTAGAAAAAATAATCCTAAGCTTTATTTGAAAACAGAAAAGAGCCTGAATAGCCAAAGCAATCTTAAACAAAAAGAACAAATCTGGAGGTATCACATTACCTGACTGTAAATTATTCTACAAGGCTATAGTAACAGTATAAAACAGTATAAAAGTATAATAGTATAAAATTAGAGACATAGACCAAACAGAACAGAGAAATCAGAAATAAAACCTGTCTACAACCAACTGATCATCGACAAAGAAGACAACAACATACACTGGAGAAAAGAAGTTCTATTCAATAAATGGTGCTGGAAAAATTGAATATCCAATTGCAAAGGAATGAAACAGGACCCCTATCTCTCAACATATACAAAAATTAATCCAAGAAAGACAAAGGACTTAAAAGTAAGGCATAAAATCATAAAAATTCCATAAGAAAACATAGGAAAAACTCTTCTAGACCTAGGCCTAGTGCAAAAATTTATGACTAAGACCTCAAAGGCTAATACTGGAAAGGCAAAAATAAATAAATGCAACTTAAATAAATTTTAAAAATTCTGCAAAGCAAAGGAAATAATGAACAGAGTAAACAGACAATCTACAGAACGGGAGAAAATGTTCTCAAACTATACATACAACAAAGGACTAATGTCCAAAACCTAAAAAGAACACAAGCAAATTAGCAAGAAAAAAATAAACAGCTTAATTAAAATTTGGCTAAAGACCTGAACAGAAATTTTTCAAAAGAAGATAGACAAATGGCCAACAAACTTATGAAAAAATGCTCAGAATTACTAATCATCAGAGAAGTATAAAGTAAAACCAAAATGAGATACAATCTTACCCCTGTCAAAATGGTCATCATTTAAATGTCAGAAAACACTAGATACTAGTGTAGATGCAGAGAAAAAGGGACACTTATATATTCTTGTGGAACTGCAAATTAATACAACCTGTATGAAAACTGTATGAAGAATCCTCAAAGAAATAAAAGTAGAACTACCATTTAATCCAGCAATCCCACTACTTAGTATCTACCCAAAGTAAAAGAAGTCATTTTTATCAAAAAGACACCTGCACTCAAACGTTTATCACAGCAAAATTCACAGTTGCAAAAATGTGGAATCAACCTGAGTGCCCACAAACTCATAAATGGATAAAGAAAATATGGTATATGTAAATACTATGGAGTACTACTCAGATATAAAAAGGATTGAAACAATGTCTTTCATAGCAACTTGGATAGAACTGGAGACCATTATCCTAAGTGAAGTATCTCAAGAATAGAAAAACAAACACCACATGTACTCACTAATAAGTAGGAGCTGAAAGATGGGTATACATGGGCACAGAGAGATGTAAAGGACATTGGAAACCAAGAAGGGGGGAGGGATAAAATGTACCTATCAGTTACAATTAGCACTATGCTAGTGATGGGCACACTAAAAGCCCTGACTTCAGTATTATACAATGAATCTATTTAATAAAAACATTTTTACTCCCTAAATATTTTGAAATTAAAAAAAATAAAAAACAAGGAATGGAAAGAATTATAGTTATTTTATTATTATTAGATATTTTCACTATTTGTGAAGTGGTATAGTGCTTTTTGAATGTGGAGCTAAACTACTTGTAAATGTATATTGCAAACTACAGGGCAACCACTAAAACAAGTTAAAAAAATATAACTCATAGATATTAATCCAACTATATCAATAATCACTTTGAAGATCAATGCACCAAATAAAAGGCAAATATTGCCAGAGCAGATCCAAAGAAAAAGTGTTGTCTATAAGAAACTCACTTTAAATATAAAGTTACATATAGATAAAAGTGAATGGATAGAGAAAAATACATCATGCTAACATTTATCAAAAGAAAGCAGAAGTATCTATATTAATTTCAGACAGAGAAGACTTAGAGCAAAGAAAGTTATTAGAAATAAAGAGGCACATTTCATAATGATAAAGGCATCAGAGGAAAGCTTCATGACATTGGATTTGGCAATAATTTCTTCTACATGATACCAAAAGCATAGGATGCAAAAGAAAAATTGGACCACATCAAAATTAAAACTTCTGTACATCAAAGGACACACAATCAACCAAAAGAGTGAAAAGACAACACAGGAAGTGGGGAAACAATTGTAAATCACATATCTGACAAAAAGTCAATATCCAGAATATATAAAAATCTCTTACAACTCAGCAACAAAAACCAGACAGCCAATTGAAAAATGGATAAAGGAATTGTATAGGTATTTTCCAAAGGATATGGAATTGGCTGGTAAGCACAGGAAAAGAGGCTCATCATCACTAATTATTTGGGTAATATAAATAAAAACCATAATGATATACCCACTTTATAAGACGACTACTATGAAAAAAACAAAAACAAAAGAAGCGTTGATGAGGATGTGGAGAATTTGAAACCTTTGTGCACTGTTGATGAGAATGTAAAATAGTGCAGCAGCCACTGTGGAAAACAGTTTGGCCCTTATTCAAAAAATTAAAAATAGAATTACCCTATAATTTATTCAATAATTCCCCTTCTGAGCATATACCCCCCAAATTAAAATACCTTGGGTATATACCCATAATATTGATATATTTGCATACCCATGGTCAGAGCCCCTTATTCACAATAGCTAAAAGTAAGAAGTAGCCCCAATGTCCATTGACAGTTAAATAGATAAATAAAATGTAGTATATACATACCATGGAATATTATTCAGCCGTAAAAAGGAAGGAAATTCTGACAATGTGATACAACATGGATAAACTTTGAGAATATTATGCTAAATGAAATAAGCCAGTCACAAAAACATAAATACTGTATGATCCCACTTATATAACTAGAGTAGTCAAATTCATAAAGACAGAAAGTAGAATGGTGGTTTCCAAGGTGTGAGGGTGGTAGAGAATGAAGAATTACTGTTTAGTGGGTTCATAGTTTCAAGTGTGCAAATGAAAAGAGTTGTAAAGATAGATGGTAAGTGACAGTTGCACAACTATGTGAATGTGCTTAATACCACTGAATGGCATACTTATTAGTGGTTAAAATGGTGAATTTTATGTTATGTGTATTTATCCACAATTAAAATAATTTTAAAAGATTTTAAACATGCTTTCCTTTGAGATTTCTACTGTCCCTCTACTTTACAAATGCAAATATAGGTTTACCATTCAAATCTTAAGGCAGGAAAAACTGGGGTTGGAGATGTAAGAAAGAAATAGAAGAGAATGAGGATTTTGGATTGTGGAACATTGAGCATAACAGGTCTAGGGGTGTGCAAAAAGATCCATATGATGGCATTAAAGGCTCCTGGAGAAGTGATGAAGTGAAGGACAAGAACAGAGAAAAGAGAGAATTCATTTTCTGTGTCTTCATGATGTCCCTCTAAGAGCTAGTCATTATTGATCATTTTATGTATAAGTCTGGCATGGGGCAGGTAAACTTACAATATAGAAAATGATCTCTTCCATGCTAGAGATTGTAATAAGTTCATTAAATGGAATGGGTCCTGGGAATTTAACCATGTCAATGCAATCTTTTTTTACATTACTAACTAAAGAAAAATGGGTGCTCCTTACACATTTTATAAGATTAAGAAAGCAAAAGAAGTCAGAAGAAGCCAAATTAGAACTGTAATTAGGACTGTAATCTAATGATTTCCCATCAAAACTCTTACAGAATTGCCCTTGTTTGATGAGAGGAATGAGCAGGAGGAGCATTGTTGTGGTGGAGAAGGACCCTCTGGTGAACATTTCCCTCTTAGCATACTTCTGCTACAGCACTGACTAACTTTCTCAAAATGCTCTCATAATAAGCAGATGTTATCATTCTCTGGCCCTCCAGAAAGTCAATGACAAAATGGCTAAAGCATCCCAAGAAACAGTTGCCATGATCCTTGTCATTGACTGGTCTGCTTTGACTTTGACTAGACCACTTCCACCTCTGGTAGTCATTGCTTTAATTGTGCAGTGTCTTCAGAATCATGCTGGCAAAGCCAAGCTTCACCTACTGTAACAATTCTTTGAAGAAATGCTTCGGGATC